CATGTGTGGCGGGCGTGTGGGCACTCGCATCAACTCAATTTTCAAAAATTATTTAGTCACTCTGTCATAAGAGGTCTGCGTCAGCGGCAAACAAATGTGGGAATGTGGCACATTAGCGTGTAGTTAACCTAGAGTCGAACTCGGTAATTGCCCACCCCAGCACAACCACGGCCCGCTTCATGCTCGACTGTATCCTCGCCAAAGTTCCCACACCATCATCTGTTATCCTGCGTCGCCTTCTCTCGGCCAATGGTCCCTAAATGCCGATACACACAGCCAAACAAAGGCTGACGATTGTGCGCGCTGCGCTGTTTGTTTGTAATTTAAATTCTCATGCAGTCGCTAGGAGCGGCGAGGGGGCCGCACTCACCAACTGGCAACCACCACCAGCACCACCGCCATGACATATCGACGCCGATGCCGATGCCAATGCGCATATATCCTGCGTCCTACTCCGCCTGCGTGGCCATGCTAGCTTCCTTCCGCAGTTGTCGCCAGTTGTTGTTGGTGGTGGCGGTGCTAGTGGTAGTTCCTTCCCCCTTTTGCACGTGGATTTTTACGCGTCTACCCAAAAGGTGATCGTGAGAAAGTTTTTTTCTCACATTTCAACTTGAGTTTAATTTTAGCCTCTGTCTCGGAATTATAATGTTTATGAATTGATATGAGCCGAAGCAGTTGTTCTTGACTGTCGCACACGCGAGATTTGACTGTACTTTAGTAAAAAAAATATATATTTTGTTTTCAATTTTATTATAACACTGGAAAAGGTGATTTAGATATTTGAGAAACTTTCGTTGAATTTAGTTTTAATAAAAAAAAAGATCTTTGCAAGAATTATTTCTCGACAAATCTATCTGGTAAGCAGACAATTGTGATCTAAGAATATATAGTCGCAAACTTAACTGTTAGACTTGCCTTAACAGATTCTCAAAGAAAATTTGTCATCAATTTACTGAATACAGACAAAGTAAATAATGGAGCTCTGACTAAAGCCTTAAGAAAATCTGGATTCGGCGAAACGTCAGATTTTTTCTAATCTAAACAAAACGATATACGATTAGACTTGAATTAAACTCAATTAAAATTTGATTCACAAAACTCTTTCTGTTTTTATGTAGTAGAAATGATATCATCAAAGCAAAATAAAAGTGAAATCGGAGACTAAATTTAGTTAAGCAGAATCACATTTCCAGTGTTGATTTGTGTGATTCCCTGGCTGAGGCATTTGTGGCGCGTTCTAACCGCAAATCTTACACTGCAGGTAATCCCCTCCACAACACACACACACACACACGCAGCATCTCAGGCAACCCTTCAACACGGATCTTGTTGATCTTCCCCTAGCAGCTGCCTCGTATCAGGCACGCTTCATACAAATCCATTTGTTTTGTCGCTTAGGCGCGCATCTTTCTTGATTATGTAAGACGCCAGCCCAGCCAAAGGCAACAATTAACGTCGCATCTACCTTGAAAGTCAGTTGAGCTCTTAGCGCCGTTCTGTTATTCCAACTCCGGACCCAATCCCGGCCTATTGTTCGCCTAGCCGCTGGCAGCTGTGCCAACTTTCAGCAAATGGCACGAGACTCAATGTCTTTGACAATTTAGAAAGCAGCTGACCAATGGCCCTGGATAGCCGTTACAACGGACAACCAACCCCCCAAAAAATCTAAACGATCCTGAATTTATTTTCCTGCTCTTCGAAAGGGCATCTTTGCAGCTAAAAGTCAGCAAAACATTGTTATAGTCTAAGCCATCTTTAGAGCAAATCTTTTGCAGAGTGATCGAGGAATAGTTAAAGGTATTCATAATAAAGTTCTGATGTATATGATATATGTATGGCAAAACTTTTCATAGAGTGATCGAGGAATAGTTAAAGGTATCCCTAGTCATTGTTTGTTTGTATATTAAATATTTAAAAAGGATTTTTAATCACATTTCATACTGATCAAGATGATCAGAAATATCTTTATTTATTTATAAATATAATAAATAAATATATATCTATATATTATATTAATTTTCGCTTAGTATTTTATCATTGCCATTACTAAAAGATCGCAGAGATTTTTCATTCAATTTAAAATTGAAATGAATTCAAATATCGATGTTTCAGATAGTAATTTTCGTTTCTTTATTATAAAATATTTTTTGAAGAAATATAAATTTGTCTTATAATCTGAAATTGATCAAATGATTACCCTTGAAATGATCTTTAGCTTAGTTAGAACATTTCTCATTTGTTTTTTACGAAGTTATCTGATCTTAAAAATGATTTGTGCTGTGCTGAAAAAGAGAGCTCCATTTGACCTTAGCGAGGAACCTATACATTAATTTTATATTTATTAAAATATATGCAGAAGATATTATTTATAACATTGAGCCAAGTTTTAGTAAACTTAGAATGTTCCAATTCTGACTGCTGACAAAAACGTCGCATCCCATGGGAACTTATTTTAATCGATCTGTAAACGTTTCCCAGGTACTCCTCGCAGCATCTCTACTTTTTCTCTGCCCGCATCTGTTATTAGCCCAGCTAGCGCTGGCCATTTATCAAATTCATAAAAATAATATTAAAGAGGGCGAGATTTAGAACTCCACGCCTGTCACGACTTCTAATGCCCAGCCGACGCACACTTCACTCAAGTTGCTCCCTTCGCTCCAACAAGGCGCCATAAAAATCAACAAAAAATTCATTTAAATCAACATATATCTTAGCTTCTTAGGACGTCCTCCCCCCTGCACTCGACACATTTGCTACTGTTTCATATTTTTTCATGCTCATTATATATATTTCATTTCTTTTGGGATGTTTCGGAGCTCAGGCTGGAGATGTGGGTGTGGGTGTGGGTGTAGCACACCCTATAATAAGTGCAGTTCCCACAGAAAAAGTAAAGAACTCTCGGCTAAAAATATATGTTATGCATATGCCTCGGCGTACAACCGCAGGCACTAATTTGAGGTTGCAAAAGGTCTCACATATGCTACCTTGCTGCTGGATTGATTAAGAAGAGCAGAGTAAAAAGGGAAGCAATCGCTCGATACAATAAAAATTAAAGTGTTTTAATGTGTAAATCGTGCGTTGGGGCATAAAAACGAAAGCCAAAACGCAACTAAAAATAAGGCACAAGGAAGCCCCAGTACCGACAGACTCAAGCCCAGAGCACAGGGAGACGGCTACCGATCAGCGATCGTGCCACACTAAACGGCATTTACCTTGATCCCCAGATCGAACCGACAACAACCGTATGGACAAATGGAAGCCAAAGTAACTCTGAGATACCAACCAGCCACTGGCTTTTGCGATTGGGGCTGATATTGAACTTTGATTTTTTGTTATAGAATTTCATTCGACGTTATTCATTTTCTCAAGCCTGGACAGCTCCTCACTCGGCGTGTGTGTGTGACCGAGGCGATCGTCACGTTTGGCTCAGACCAGACGAAATGATCCACATTTGGCCACATGCATGAGTCCGACTGCTACTGACGCCCATATGTGTGATGAGTCTGTGTTTCGCTTCTCTGTTCTTTTTTTATTTTGCTTCTTTCATCTTTTCTGCCAGCTCATGACTTTTATTGAGTTTTCTCGTGGGAAAAAGTTAGCCAAAAACTTGCAGACTTATTGCAGCTTATTAAGTCAGAGCATATCGTTTAGAGCACTGATTAGTGCACCGGGGGTTGGTCGAGCATTGCCAGCCAGCACTCTCGACTGGGGTTAACCACAAAATAATAATAAATGTGCACATATATTTGCATAGATGTACATACATACTTAGCTAGATATCATAGGCAACAGCGCCGCTTATTCAATTTACAAAACTCTGGCCCCTTTTACGACTCGGACGAAGGGATTTGCACTCAAGAATTGACTGGCGTGCCAGCTGAGTGCAAGCTGATTGCTTGATTTGCACAATCAGGGTTGCCAGGCGGCGCAACACTTTTATGGTAGGTGCTTTAAAGTCTGGCTAACCGAGCGCTCTCGGCCAGCTGCCGTCAGCTGGCGCATGGCCCAAGACCGGGCTATTGACAATTTTCTAGCCATGCCGCATCCTAATCCTGCCAACATTGTAAAGCAATAAAAATCCTTGAGCCCTCGACGGCTTTTGGGGTGTTTGTTGCATGCGCATGCGCATGCGTTTATCATAAAACTGACTGATATCAGGTAAGCTTCGATGGAATAACTAATGGTTGACCCGTGACCAGGCCATAAGATCGCAACCCCCTAGATGGGCGAATGTCTTCAGGGGGTTGCCAAGACAGCTGCCTGCCAGGCCAGGCGCAAGACACGACATTCGCAAGAAATTTTTAATGAATTGCGCCCAATCAGCCCTGGATCAGACCTGATTAAGGGGTGGCAAGCAAGAATTGATTCACAAGAGTACCTGGATGCCGCACACAAGGAAATCTGCTGTATCTATGAGACAGCTGTATGTATTATTTAAGAAAAAATACGAGAGAAACATGTACAAATAATAATAAAATCTTTACAATAATAATTTATAGTTAACTAACTTAAGTTGGAAAATCAAATAATTATTTATAAATATTTTGATTGTATTTAATTTTATTTTTTATTTAATTTTATAAAAGTTTAATTTTTAATTAATTTTCATTTTGACTTTTAAATAAGTTTTGATATTTATTTATTTTATATTTAATATCTATTTAATTTTAATTTTTATTTTTTTAAACGTAATATATGTATTATTTATATTTTTCATTTTAACTTTTATTTTATTTTTATTTTATGTTAATTTTAATTTCTTAGTTTCATTTATTTTAATTTACTTAATTTAATTATCTTAAGTTTCTGTTAATTAAAATAAATTTATTGCCAATAAATTTCCTCGTTTCGTGCATTTTGTGCGCAATTTCGAGCATTCGACAACTCTTTTGAGTAAAAAACTCAATTCACACGCAGCGACTGGTTCACTCACTCAGTTTGAGTGGTTTTGGGTTTGAGCAGTTTTTGCCTGCGCTGGAATTTCTCGTCTGTGTGTGCATAACTACCCCAAATGCGCTGCTGAGCGAACGGCCGCTCTCATGGCTACCTGCGCCTGCGCTGTCGCTGTCGTTGCGCTGCTCAGGTAAACGAGTCGAGTCGCCTCGGACTCGTTTTGCCGTCGTCGCGTATCGTTTTTAGTCAACGCGCTTGCCCCGACGAGGATCAGTATCCTTTTGGCGTTCCGTGTGCGCGGTTGTCTGCCGCTCGTCCTGAAACGCAGCTACAAAAACTCTGAGCTCACCAATGAACTAAAGCGAAACGCGTAAAATTTGTTAAGTTTTTATCTGTTCGGACATTACAATAAAAAAGTACGTGCAATAATTTGTTGACACTTCAATTCGTACTTCAACCAAAGCTTTTATGTTGTGAATCATTTGTGTTGTGTTCTGTGTGTGTGTTCTGAAACTAAAACTTGTCACTCGATTGGATTAACTACACCTTGGATTATCAACTAAACAAAAATGGATTACAAAAACGATCTTAACTCGGACGACGATTTCGACTGCTCCAATGGCTATAGCGACAGCTATGGCAGCAATGGTCGCTTGACCAATCCCAATGGCCTCTCCAAGGCGGAGCTGAGAAAAGTGAGTTTCGATTGGGCTGATAACAAATTAAATATAGAATTGGCTTAAAAATAGTGGAAGAATTTTAAAAAATTTTAAATTTAAAAATTTTTTAATATTTTAGTTTAGCTTACAACAATTTTTTTTAATTTTATGCTGATCTATACAAATCTTGAGTTTACAATATGATTTCATATATTTTGAAATTTTAATAATATATTCAAATTATATTTGAAATATTCTAAGTAACATTTTAAGCTAATAAATAAAAACGAAATTTTTAAAAATAATTATAATTTTTTTAAAGTCAAAATCATAATTCATAATTGAGAAATTATTTAATTTTATAAATTCAAATTTTTCTGCTTAATTTTACAAAATATTTAATCACCTTATCCATTGCTTTTGCAGACAAATAAACCCATTATGGAGAAACGGCGTCGGGCTCGCATCAATCACTGCTTGAACGAGCTCAAATCCCTGATCCTGGAGGCAATGAAGAAAGACGTAAGTATCCTTGGGAAAGCACAAAAGAAATATGGGGCGCAATTTAGTGATTTAGAAACCATATTCGAGATTGGTTCACTTTCCTTATAAATGGTGTCATAAAACACATAAATATCAGAAACTCAAGAATTTCAAGTGTCTGGCGTCGGCAAAAGTACAAAAGGATACAAGACTCCTACAACAGACAGACGCACAGACGAACAGACATGAAGAAAAAGAACGAATCGAGTCAACAGTTTAATTGAGTATTAAATTTTATTGATGATCATTACAAGAGAGCGCCGACGATGACGCTGCCGATGATGGCGAGTCAGTCAGACCAAAAGTGTTAACAAGTCGAGAAATTACGCAGAAATCTCAGACAGCGAGACTGTAAACCTGTTTCCACAGGAGCCAACGGCGGATCCTGCTGTGAGAAAGACACACACAAAAAAAACAACAACAGCAACGAAGAATCGCATAAAAAATATGAGATAGAAGCGAAGCGAAGACGCCGACGCCGACGCCAATGCCGACGCCGACGCCAGTGTAGCAGAATTCTGCAGGCAACGACCAAAAATCAAATAAGAAAGACATTGAAGAAAAAGCAAAAGTAAACAAAAGATGCAGACATGACAAGAAGACGGCGCACGGCAGCAAGGGGACAGGGGCGGAGCGGGGCAGATCAGCGAAGCGGGCGACCTGCGTGGGAAACTTTTGCAAAATATGCAGCCAGCGGGCAGCGACAGCAGAAGCAGCAGCATAAACGAACGTACGCAGAAGAAGTGCCAAACAGATTGTGGCCACTCTCTTCACGTGTACCTGTCTGCCTCGCTCCCTCGCGCACTCTCTGTCGCTCTCTCGCTTACTCGCCATGAGCAGAGCTTATGCGCCGCGCGGCTTTGGGGCGTGTGATATTCGCTGAAGTGGAGTGTAGAACAGAAACAGAGGTAGATTACAAATAGTTGGACATATGAGGCAAGAAACGTGCTTGACCGTCTGCATCATTCACTTTTTATGCCCTGTAGCTATGGACTTGCGCCCGAAGGGGTAGATTCGCTGAAGATGAAAGCCCCAGCTCCATGAATATAAAACTCTAATGGAGCTACCTGGTGTCCTCAGGCACTCTTCCATATTTGATCAAAGCTTTTTTTCATTGCCAGTTATAGGGTATTTGGCGTTCGTGCACGCCATTTGGCTGCCTGCTTACGTGTTTCACTTGTTTCCCATGCATTGAACTTGTTATAGGGCCTTGTGTCTGAGGGTCTCTGGCTGACTCTGGCTCTGGTCCTGGTCAATGCACGAAAACAATTAGCCGGGCGGCTTCTGCTTTAGTTGTTATCCACTTTTAGCGCTCCCAGTCCCAAGTGTAGCCCAAAACGACACCCAGCCACAACGGACGACATGAAGCTCATCATTATCTGTTTTGTTCTTCTACCGTTTTTAGCCGGCGCGACATACCAAGCTGGAAAAGGCCGACATACTCGAGATGACGGTGAAGCATTTGCAGTCCGTGCAGCGCCAGCAGCTAAACATGGCCATCCAGACCGATCCCGGCGTGGTGCACAAATTCAAGACGGGCTTTGTCGAGTGCGCCGAGGAGGTGAATCGCTACGTCAGCCAAATGGAAGGCATCGAGCCGGGCGTGCGCCAGCGTCTCAGCGCCCATCTCAACAACTGCGCCAACAGCCTGGAGCAGATTGGTTCCATGAGCAATTTCAACAGCGGCTATCGCGGTCAGCTGCCACCGGCCATGTTCCCGGGTGCCGCGGCGGCGCCCCTCTTCCCACCTCTGCCCCAAGATCTGAACAACAACAACAGCAGCAGCAACAGCAGCCGCGAGGGCGTCACAACAGCGGCGCCAGCCATACAAATGGGCGGCCTTCATCTGATACCCTCTCGCCTGCCGTCGGGCGAGTTTGCACTGATTATGCCAAATACAACGACAGCGACAACGGCACCAGCGCCGGCCCCCTTTGTCTGGCCAGGAGCAGCTGTGAATGCCGCCAGCGCTGCGCTGGCCAACATTGCCAATCCCACGCATCTCAACGACTACGCGCAGAGCTTCAGGCTGAGCGCATTCAACAAGCCAGTGGCGCCTGTCCAGACCCAGCTGCAGGCACCGGGAGCAGCAGCTAACGTGGCGGCCAAGACCACCACCAGCAGTCCGCCGCTGAGTCCCATCTCGTCCATCTCCAGCCACAGTCAAGGCGATGAGTCGCGCGCCGCCTCGCCAGCGAGTGCCGCTCAAGCGGAACTGCTGCTGGCCAAGCAGCACAGCTTTGCCGGCGTCTTCTCCACGCCGCCGCCCACCAGCGCCGAGAGCTCCTTCAACAGCAGCGGCTCACTGAATCTGAGTGGCGCCAGCCACGACACCAGCGGCTCGCTCTGCAACAGCTCACGCTCGCTGATGGCGCATCACTTGCAGCAGCAGCAAGTCAGCTCCACCAGTGGCCAGGAGACGGGCAGCATGAAGCGGGAGCGCGAGCGTGAGACGGAACTGGAGCGGGAGCAGGCCGATTCTAGCGATTGTTCGTTATCGGACGAACCATCGTCTAAGAAATTCCTGGCCGCAGCCAACGAGAAGTCCAGCTCCGCCTGGCGGCCCTGGTGACGCAGCAACAGCAGCCCCTCAAGCATTGTCTATAATTTATGTTAAGTTTATCCAACTCTCTCGCTCACTCGCTCTCTCTCTCTCTCTTTCCTTGTCTCACTTTGTTAATTTATTTTCATTGCAATTTTATTCAATGCTTTCCGAGTTCATTAAGTTTTTCCATTTTCCACGTTTCGGTTTTATTTCAATTTTAAGTTCAGCTGTGATTTTTAATGCGTGTATATTTTGTGTAATTTTTTGTATTTGTATTTTATTATTATTATTATTATTATTAATATTATTATTATGTACTTTAGCAACTTGGCATATTTCTTGTTTAGTATTAAATGTTCTTTATCAAATTTCAATTGCAAGAATTTTTTAACTAAGTTATGTAGATCTTAGCGTCAAGTCTCTTATGTTTCCCGCCTAGTTTCCTAGAGGTTATTAATCTTATATTTTTAGTATAAACTTTATGAAGTTTGGTGTGAATGAGTGAACAAATAAAACTAAACTGCTTCAAAAAAGCAAAAAAAAAAAAAAATAAACCAATTTTTGCATTAATTTTTAAACAGATTTCCAGTCCCCAACTAACCTTGACCCGTTAGCAGCCAGAGCGGAAGCTAATGCTTGCACAAATTTCCGCTGATAATGTAATCTATTTGACGGAAGTGACCTTCTCGTTCAGTTTTGCAACGATTCACTGATTGCCTCTGCTGGCTCCCTATATAAGCAGATGTCGTTTGATTTAGCCGACATCACAAGTTCGCACAAAAGTTATTGCCACAGAGCACGCAGTGATCCTCAGCTGAACGGGCTGGAAAGGCGTGCTTCGAGCATCGATAAAGTTTTTGACGAAAAGCAACTCTTCATTGCCATGCTGATGCAGTTAGTCTTCGCCCAGCTCGGGTTGATCTGCTTGGCAGGCTTAGCACCGGCTGAGGCGCAGTATCACGCCTCACCCAAGCTCGCGGGACCCGCTGCTCTCGCACACGAATCAGCTGACAGTATTCTTAACTCACTGGATGTGGCCATAGATAAGCTAACGAATATATATACTCAAGCTCTGCTTTCCGGCACGCACACGCCCGAGCTGGAGATCTCGCTGCGCGCGCTGGAGTTGGAGCTGTACGAGCTGCTCGATCGGCTCTATAAGCAACATCGCCTGAAGGACTACATGAAATACGAGTCGGAAGTGTCGAAACAAATGATCATTTACAACTTGCTTAAGGAGCTCTTTGGCTATACGCAGCATGTGGAGAAATCATAGTAAAAGTGATCTTAGGAATTTCTGTTCAATAAATTGATTTGTATCCTTTCACTCTCTACATCATTTTTGTTTTCCAATTTCGAACACTTCCGTAATAGCTTCCGCACAGGGAGCCTGTGTCCTGCGGCTGCCTTGCGTGTGGCTGTCGAGCGACACAGCAACGCGGGGCCCATTCAGCAGACTCATTCGGTCCCTCGAACCGCGATCGCCTGCGAACTTCCCACACTCAATCATAACAGCGCGGCGTCGGCTGCTGTTACCCGATCTGCTGTGAGAAAGAAAAAAATTATCATAATTTTCATTTCCTTTTAGTGCTATTATCCTTTGGCAGTCTCCCAATAGCGTTGCACTTGTTCGTCGTGTTCCCACACACAAACACACACAGATCCTCGAGATCTTTTATCTCTCGCTCGCCTCGCTGTTTGCTTTGTGGCTCGCAGGACCTGCGCCTGTTTGCTTTGCACTTGTTCTGTTGATCCTTTTTCCTTTGTGTGTGTTTGCTGTGATTTGATGCTGCTCTCCCTACCTCACTCAGCCTCTCTCTCTCTCTCTCCCTGTGGTCGTCGGCGTGTCTATGTGAAATTCTTGTGCATTTCGTTACGGTTTATCACTTTTGTTTTTACTTTTGATTTCGTTTTCCTGGCCATGGGAATCTTTTTACGCTGGCATTGAAATGCGTTTGGTTTAATTAATGGCCAGAGAGTTGCATAAATGATTAGCTCCAAGTGGGTTGCTTTGGCAAATGCGCAGTTTCTGGAAACTGGTTTTATGGAAATTATGCCTATTGTCCTTGTGACTAGTGGAATTTCTGGTTTAATTTGCGTAATGCAAACGTAGCACAGCCGCACAGGATGCTCAAATTTTCTAAGAAAATTGCCGTTAAACTCGTTTCCAATTCGCAAATCTATTTAATTGCAATTAACTTGGCAAACATTGTAGCAGACCATTTTTCCCACACTTAATTTCGGTGTAAACCCAAAAATCTCATTGGTATTATAATAGAGATATCCTTGCAAACAAACAAACAACAAAGTCATGCAGTGTTTAGCAGGAATTCTCACACACACACACATACACAGAGGCACATGCAGACAAGCCCATTTAACATACACCGAATGCGATCCTTTTTGGCCACAGCAAAGGATGAAATGAATTTTACCGTCTACCTGTCTCAAGCAAATTCAAATCGCTTGCATTTTTCACACGACCCAATGGCTGTGAATGGGCCCTGATAACCGTGTTCGGGTCCTGTGGCCAACAAGTGCATCTGAAATGCATAAAGGAGCATATATCAATAGTCCACAGCAAATATGCGTGAGATAGCAGCAAGATTTCAGCTTTGCGTAATAGATGCCAGCAGGGAAATCACTGCTGCGATCGGACAAGAACATTTTCCCAGCCACAAGGCTCCATGGGGTCAATAGAGTCCTTCAGGTAAACGCCTCTCAAATTTGAAACGGAAGTGCCCACGCGTCGTGTACTTGAAGCAGCCAAACTGGGGAACACACAATCCTGAGTGGTTACAAATTCTAATATCACGCGTATGATTTGTGGCATATTACAGGAAACAAATTGCTGTCGATTTTCCAGGCTTGATTTTCCTTTTTTTATGCGTGAAAAGGGAAAAGAAAAGGCTGAAGCAAGTAAAATTGAAAGTTACTTCCGCTTCAAGCTGAGTTTTCTCGGGGTGAACCCTCTACATGCTGCCATATGGTAAAATTTTGTAGGAAGTTGCAAAGGAGTAAAGATATATATATATATATATATATATGAATATATTATTACAGAAATATATGTAATATAATAAGTAGAAGAGTTGGCTGGCAATACTCTATTCACAATTCGATGAATTCATGAAAAAACTATGGAGCATTTCAACAGAGACAGATGAAGATGTTTTGATGTAGTATAAACTCATCAATGCAAATATGTTGAAATATGTAGATTGGTCAAGATATTGCATAGCTAATATCTAATAATAATAATACGAACGAATATAAATTCTAAAATTAATTATTGATGATTTTTCTGCACTTAAATTAATTATTAATTAATTAATTAAAAATGAAGATATATATTAAAGATAAAATATATCTTATTTTACTTTCTGCTAGCAAGCTGCTACATTTCAATTTTGGTTAAATTCTATAGCCTATATGTTTGTGATTTCTTACTTTCCTGTTAATATTGTTTGTATGTACATATACTCATTTCAAATTAAACTTGGTCAATACTACAAATACGTATATTCTTGCCCAAAGTGTAGCATAAGTATAGAACGTTTAACTTCTTTGAAAAAACAAAGTCTTAAATAAATATATTATTTCACATATATAAATAGATATTTCACATATAAAATAGATAAAAAATATATATAAAAAATAAAAAATATATAAAATATATTTAGAATATATATAAAATATATACATTATTAAAAAAATATATAAGACGCAGTACTTATGACACATGCATGTGCATTTATGGCTCTTTAAATAATCTCTTCTAAACTAAGAATTGTTGCTAATTCCGTTTACTATATATACATTCAGATACGAAGCTCTTTTCCTGAACTTCTCTATGACACACCTCTATACGTAATATTCTGCAGTGCTTGCCTTTAATATAGTATGCATCATAATAATTATTGACGTAGAAGAGCTATATAGGAATAAATGCATGTTATTTGTAATAACCCAACGATTATTAAACAATTATTGTGAAGTTTCTTTTATTAGTTTATACAATTGCTTTTGTATGTATTTTGTGCACATTTAACTTTGTAATCAAACGCTTTGCACTTAGCTTAAACATACATCATTTTTAGATATATTCTATAGTTATTAAATTTTTACATTGTATATGTTAAAATTTGGCTTTTGACTGAGCATTATTCTTTTTTATACAGGATATCGTTTTTTGTTCGATTGTTTTAAAAAGTGACAAACTAAATAATGTAATATAATATTTATATATACTATATATTGTTTATATATCTGCTGAGTCAGATATTTCAAATGTTTCTTAAGCTAGACTATTCAATTTGTTCGTTATGATTTCTGTCTCGTGTCTGTTCTCTGTTTTCTTTTCTAGTTCTTCGTTCTATGCGCTTGTGCGTTAAATTTGTTTTTTCTTTGTTTTTTTTTTTTTGCTGTGCTCAATAAATTAGTTTAAATGCATTTTACATGATTTTGTTAGTTTTAAAAACATGTTGCTTTTACAATTGGTTGCTAATTTATAATTGTTTTTATATTAATATTTTTCGCTAATTGGCAAAATATTTAGTGCTCGTTTTAAATGTTAACTAGGCTGCCATTTTTTTGTTTTTTTTTTTTTATAAAATATTTACAAAAATTGAGTTTTTATAGCTGCACTTGAACTTTAACTAAGTCTACGAACTAGAAAATTTACAAATGCACAAATATGTGAGTTTTATAAAATTAAATCAATATAAGGAAGGCAAATTTGTTGTAACTTTGTGACAATTAGAGAAAGGCGCTTAAACAGAACAACAACTAAAACAGTGAAAAGAAATGTTTAAATTTATAGTATAAGGACATCATTCTTAAGGACATTAAACGAGAAGCCAGGAGATACCACGGTTGCAATTAGTTTCAGCGCTCTTTGGATGGGCGGCACTCTCCGACTCCCCTTCACCTTCTCTTCATGCACGTTACAAAAAGAAAGGAAATTGTATACAAATAAAAAAGTTTACAAAATTCGTAATATGGCTACGCTATCAGTCCATTGTTCGTGTTCAAGTCGGTTTGCATTTGGATTTAAATGTGTGCTTGAGTATGTGTGTTTTAAGTGTACAACAATCTGTGACTGTGCTTAGCACAGCTCGTGATCATGGCTGACACGGCTCAATCATCAGAGTCTCATCGTGCGTGTGCTGCAAGAGACCCTTTCTCTCATCCGGCGCCATGCTGTGCGCACTTTCTGCAATCGCCGGCTCCGCTATGGCATCCGCATACATCGATTCGTACACGGGATTCGCAAAGTTGCCCTACAAATAAATTGAACTTCAGTCACGTGCGCATTGTATAATTGATAGTGCTTTGCTTACCTTGTCATCTTCGTGAGCGAAGGGCGGTGCTTCATCGGCATCCCCTCGGTACATTGGATTGGTCAACATGATCTCCACATTGTCAGTGAGCCGAGCATGTGAGAATGGCTGTGCAATGCGATGTTTTCTGCAATTTAATACAAAGTTAACGTCTCGAATGGATTCCAGATTCATGTATCAACTTACTTGAGGAAATAAAAGACAGCCCCAAAGAGCATCAGCACCAATGTGACCACCAAGAGCACCGCCAGTACAGACAATATGCCGGCCGATTCGCTGTGGTGCTGCTCTCCACTGAGAGCCACAGCGCTTTCGGCTAGGCAGGGCACCACCCGTTTGTTGTCGCACAAACATTCATTGATGGAGCTGCCCGTGCGACAGACGCTGCACTCGCCCACACAGTGCGGCGGCAGATCACAGAAATCGCCTTGCCATTCGCCGATGCAGGTACAGTGAGGCAATCTATATTGATTGAGGTGGCAGAGACCACCATTGGCACAGTAGCGAACGCACGGGTTGTCATCGCCTACGTTGGTCGTGCAAAATTCTCCGTTCCATTGATCTGTGCAGTTGCACATGGCGATGCCCTTGACCACATGACATGTGCCCGAGTTTTGGCAAATGATGCCAGTGCAGGGATTCCGCGTTGGCTGCTGTGACGTGTCACAGAAGTGCGGCGGTATTGAGGTCTTGCACAGATCCGATTCACAGCGATCGCCAATGTAGCGCGTGGGGCAGGTGCAGCTCAGCCGGTGTCCACGATCCATACAGGTGCCGCCATTCTGACAAAAGTCGCGACATGAGTTCGCTTCACACTGCTCGCCATAGAAGCCACTCGGACACTTGCACTGACGTTGTCCCTTAGCACCAATGATGCAGGTCCCACCATTACTGCAATAATCTGCGCACTCATTGAACTCACAGCGTTTGCCCGTAAAGCCATCTGGGCACTCGCATTGTGGTGCGCCGGTCAGCGTCTCGCGGCAAATGCCGCCATTCTCACAGGTCAGATTGAGGCAGTGTTCGCATTGATCTCCCACATACATGTCTGGGCAGCTACACTTCATTCCTTCGGCCTCGGTGACCAGGCACGAGCCGCCATTGTGGCAACGGCTCTGGCAGTCTGCGACGGACACCTCGCAACGTGCGCCTGACCAGTTGGGCGGGCAGGTGCACTTAAGTGGCGGAGGCTCTTGCATGCCTGGCAACTGTGGTGCCACCGTGCACAGGCCAAAGTTCAGACAGTAGCCGGAGCAGCGATAATGTTCACAAAGCTCGCCCTCATATTGTGGTTGGCAAATGCATTTGGGCACATGATTTATCACCTGGCAAGTGCCCAAGTTGCAGAGCAGCGGACAGTAGTTGGGTATATCGGTGTGTGCCTTGCAAACGCCCTCCTCGGTCATCACATACTCATTGGGGCACTTGCAGCTGTAGCCGTTGGCCGATTCTGTCGACAGTATGCAGAGTGCGCGTAGAGCTTTGCACGGATCCTTACCGCAAGGATTGCTTACTGAAAATATAAGTCAATTAGCTACAGATATTGTTCTAGTAATCAAAAGTCAGTCACTCACTATTTCGATTCTGTTTCATGGGATGCAGTATGCCAATGTCTGAGGAGCGGTAGCCCTTTAGCAAATAGGTGCCGTTGTCGTTGCCAAATTTGTTCATCTTAATGATGGTCTGGTCGTACAGCTTGATATACAGATAATCCTCAAATACATCAATCTTTTGCGGCTTCTCGCGATTGCCAAAGCGTCGCACCACATTACGCTCTTTGCCATTTAAGCGACACGTCTCAATTGTGCCCTTGCGATAGTCCGCCCAATATAGGCGTCCAGTTGGATAGTCTATAGAGAGGCTAATTGGCCAGCCGACATCACGCTCCACTAGGCTCTTCTTGTTGGTGCCATCCATTGAGGCCACCAAGATGCCATTCTCTAGAGTGGACCAAATCATAACACGCGATTCGGGCTCCAGCACAATATCCGTTGGATTCATGCCCGTGGATACCAAAGAGATATACTTCTTGCCCTCGATGTCAGTGGCAATGATTTGATTGTGACGTGAATCGACGATGTAAACCATTTGGGTTATCCAATCCACTGCCAAAGACTTGGGGTCATCCAGATCGGGTATCTATAAAAGGTAATGTTGTTATTTTAAGAATTCTTGGCGTCTTATATAACTCACATTGAATGCAGTCAGTTCTTTGAGATCACGACGTACGCGTACGCCGGTGCCTTCCACGTGAGGCGTGGCAATTTTCATGGTATGCACCTTGCCATGATGCGAGTCAATCCAGAAGAGTAACGTGTCCTTCGGTCTGATAAGTATGTCGAACACATCAATTTTAAGACTGTCCGTCTGGAAGAAGCCAACGACAGTGGTGCCCTCCTGTTTGGCTGGCAATATGAAACGGAACTCTTGCTCCGATGCCAACAGAAGTATCAGATCTGGCCCAGATGCCAAGCACGTTGCGTTCTTAGCACCGCCCTTGTAATAGCCCGTCGTACATTTACAGTTGTAGTGACCGGCCTTCTTTTCAATGCAAATCTGTGAGCAGGTGCCGAAGCCACAGACGGGCGGCTGGCAGTTCATCTCGTCGGAGCCATCTATGCAATTGTATTGTCCATCGCAGCGGAAGTTCTTCGAGATGCAGTCATCATTCTCGCACTGGAACTGATCATGCCGGCACTTGGGCAATGCTGCACACACTTGATCCGACTCATCCTCGTTGTTGCCACAATCGTTGACGCCATCACACAAAGCCGATTTCCGTATACACAACAGGTTGGCGCACTTAAAGGCGTTGTAGTGGCAATGCACATGGGCACAGGTGTCAAAGCTCTCGTCACTGCCATCGAGGCAATCATCCCAGCCATCGCACTTCCAGCGCGACATAATGCACTTGCCGTTGCCGCAGGTGAAATGATCCGGCGGACAAGTGCAGTTAACCTCATCGGAGCCATCTGGACAGTCGTCATCGCCATCGCATTGATATTGTCTGAAAACGTGAATAGAAAATACGAAATTTCAAAATATTCTCAAAGGTTTCTCTAACCACAGTGAAACTCACTTGTTGATGCAGGTATTAAATGCAGCACATTTGAACTGATTGGGCTTGCAGGTGATATTACAGTAGATTTCGTCGCTGCTGTCGTCGCAGTGAATCTCGCCATCACAGCGGAAATCGTGCTTTATGCACTTGCCTGTGCCGCAACGGAATTCGCTCTCGGAGCAGTTGCGCATTTGGCAGTTGAGCTCGTCGCTGCCATCGCCGCAATCGTTCTCATAATCGCATCGCCAACGGCCGGGTATGCACTTGGAGTTGTTGCACTTAAAGTAAGTGGGATCACAGGTGGCTTTCGAGCTATGGCAGCTGGCCGGTTCGTCCTCACCATTCGGACAATCCACCTCGTCATCGCAGCGCCAAGTAAGCGGTATGCAGCGACCCGAATCGCATCTGCAAGCGATAAAGAGTTAAATTTCGAATGATAAATAATAGGAAGCGGAAGCTCACTGAAAATCACTGGGTCCACAGGAAACGTGATCGCAATTCGTCTCATCGGATTTGTCGACACAGTCGATGTCCCCATCACAGACCCAGACGTAGGGCATGCAGCGATTGTTGCCGCACTGGAATTGACCCTTCTTGCAGACAAGTGGCGTACAGCCAGCCTCGTCGTCACCGCCTGGACAGTCCTTGACGCCATCGCAACGCTTCACACCGTCCACACAGAAGGCGGAACTGTTGGCGGTTGCCTCGCACTTCAGGTGATTCTCAAAGCAGGTGAACTTATCACAGTTGAGCTCATCTGAGCTGTCGCCACACTGATTGACCCCATCGCAAATTCCCGATGGATGTATGCACTTTTTGTTGCTGCACTGATACTGGCCCGGTTCGCAGTGGAAAGGCGGGCAAGTCTCTGGCTCATCGCTACCATCGCCGCAATCGTCTTGCGTGTCACAGCGCCAATAGAACGGTATACACTTGTACGTATTCACGCACTCAAAGTGGGCCGCCGTGCAGTTGGCCCGGCAGGTGCGTCCATCCTCGGCCAGCACAAAGTTATTGGGGCAGGCGCACTTGTAGTATGGCGCTTCCGGCGAGAGCAAACAGAGGGTCGAACAGTTGGCATGCAGGCACGGATTGCCACTGATTGGCTGCTGCTGGCGATAGGGATGATAGACACGCAAGTCCATCGGCCTGTGTATTGTCGTGATAAGCGTGGAGCAATTCTGACCGTCGTACTTGTTGCAGTACTCAATGGACTTGGTCTCCCAGTCCGACCAATAGATGCGATCCTCCCACACGGCAATGGCAAATATATGATGCAGATTCAAACTGGGATTGATGCTGCGCGCCAACAGCAGACGCGTATGATTGCCATCCAAGTCGCTGACCGAAATCGTGTCCTCTCTGGCATCACCCCAGAACAGCTGTTGTGTTTCGAAGCTAATGGTCAGGGCATTGGGCCAGCCCAGATTCTCGCGTATGATCATGCGCGGCTGTGAGCCATCCATGCCCGCTTTGCCAATATGCGGATTGTCGCCCCAGTCGGACCAGTAAATGTGCCGCTGATAGGGATCCAAGGCAATGCCGCGCGGCTCCCGCAACTGCTCATTGATGAGCACTCGCCTGTACTTGCCGTCCAGCTGAGAGACCTCTATAGTGTCCAAGCCCTTGTCGCACCAGTACAAGTTTTTGGCCACCCAATCAACAGCGAGTCCATCGGGATTCTTGAGCATGGCCTGGTGTAGCGTTTGGGTCTTGTTCTCCAGCGGGCAGTAGCGCTTTATGGTGCCCACGGTGCTAGTAACATCTGACCAATACAAGCACTGACTATCCCAGTCGAAGTCCAGGGCCACGGCATTGGACAGTGAGTGTATGAGTATGGAGCCGTTGCCCGTCTGGTTCACCTGCCGGATGTAGTAGCGATTGGAGAAGATTAGCTTCATGGTGACATTGCTGGTCGCTTTGCAGGTGTGGTGATCGCGCAGCTCATAGCCCTTGGCGCACAGGCATTTGTACGAGCCGTACGTATTGATGCAGGTCTGGGAGCAGGGCTGCTGCTCGGCACACTCATCAATGTCCGTGCACAGATGAGGACTCTTTGGCAGCAGTTTGTAGCCGGGCCTGCAACGGCACTCATAGCCCACCACCTTGTCCACGCACTCATGCTCACAGATATCCGGATTGAGGCACTCGTTCTCATTGCAGAGCTGCTCGTCCGAAAAGTCGCCGCAATCATTGCGCCTGTCGCACAACAAGTCCGCGCTGATGCAGGCCCCATTCTTGCAGCGAAAGTCATCGGCGCCATTGCACGCTCGCGTGTGCATGCAGAGCGACGGCAGCTCATCGGAGCCATCGCCGCAGTCAGCTTTGCCATCGCACGTCTGGTTCTTGTAGATGCACAGGCCATCCTGACAGTGATGCATTAGCGCACCGCCTGGGCAAGCATGCGCATGGTAGAGCGGCTCACAGCCATCGTACTCATCATCCCCGCCGGGACAGTCCTCGTCGCCATCGCACACATAATGAGAATCTATGCACTGACCTGCGCCAGGGAAATAACAATTGAAATGACAGAGCCACACGCTTTCAAGCTTTACAACTTACCAGTGCTGCATAGGAAGGCAGGTGGCTGGCAATCGGGTATGTGCGAAACGCCTCCGCAGTGCGGACCCTCATCTTCGGAGCCCTCGTCGCCGTTGCTGGGGCAATCCTTTTCGCCATCGCACACCCATTTCTGTGGTATGCAACGCCCCGAGCTCTTGCACTGAAACAGATGGGCGCGACAGGAACGATTGGGACACTGCGGACCTTCGTCGGTGCCATCCTCGCAATCGCTTTTCCCATCGCACTGCCAGCTGCTGGGTATGCAGCCGTTGTCGCAGCTAAACTGATTCACCTGGCAGCTGGAGCGGCAGTTGAGCTCATCGCTGCCCTTATCCCCGACATTATCCATGCAGTCGTTCTCGCCATCACAGCGCCAGCCGGACGCAATGCAGTGCCCGTTCGCACAACGAAACTGATTCAGTTCGCAGGTGGCGCGCGTGTTGTTGCTGCAGCCCAGCTCATCTGTGCCATCGGGGCAGTCCGATTCGCCATCGCAGCGCCAAGAGGGCATTATGCAAAGTGTGCTACTCTCGCAGTGCTCAAATAAGGCGTCGCCCTGCTCACACGTTCTCTGGGCGCACTGCTTCTCATCGCTGAAATCGCGACAGTCGCGCATATTGTCGCAGACGAAGGAGCGCGAGATGCACTCGCCGCTGCCACAGCGAAACTGCTCGGGCTGGCACTTGCACAACAGGGTCGTCTCATCACTGCCGTCGCCACATTGCTGCAGTCCATCGCAGGTCTGCTCCTGTGCAATGCAGCGATGATTCTGGCACATGAAATAGTTCTCTGGGCACTTTCGGATCACGCAATAGTTGCGCAGCTCATCGGAGCCATCCAAACAGTGGGTAACATTGTCGCAGGTCAGCTCCAGTGGTATGCACTCGCCCGAATGGCAGTTGTACTGAGACTTGCCGCAATTCGTGTGCATCGGCGCGATACAGCGACGTCCATCGGGCGCCAGCACGCCCTGTGTGCAGTGGCAGCTGGCCATGCCGTTCTTGCTCAGTATGCAGACATCCTCACAGAGGCCATTGAGTATCTTACACTGATTCGCATCACAGTTGATGCTGCTGTTTTGCACCGCTATGATGCCCATGGGCCGAGCCACGTTCTCGCGCAAGAAGAGCACGTCCGTTCCAGTATATTTATTGGCCCGCACCACTGCGTGCAGCACCCAGTCCGTCCAGAAGAGCAGATCTCCGTACACGGCCATGGCAAAAGCATGCTTGGGCGTTGTGTGTGCGAGCACCACTCTATTTGTGCCATCATAGTTGACGCGTTCAATCTTATCCAGACGCGCATCGGCCCAGTACAGTTGCTGCTGCTCCAAGTCCAGAGTTAGGGCATTCGGCATTTTGATATCGGTACGTATGATGCGCTCCACGCCATAGCCCGTGAGATAAGCACGCTGTATGCTTGGCGATTGCTCGTTCCAGTTGGTCCAGTAGATCATGCCCAGGCACGGCTCCACCGAAATGCCGCGCGGCTTGTCCTTGCTCTGCAACCTGAGGACATTGCGCACATGCTGCATGTTCTGTTCGGGTTGGGGTGACAAGTACTGCAGCTCCAGGCTACGTATGGCTGCATCGTTATTCGACGTCCAGAACAGCTGATCGTTGACGATATCATAGGCCAGACCCTCGACACGTCCCTGCTGTTTGATCAGCTGTCGCTGACCGCTGCCATTGAAATGCACCTGATTGATGGTGCTCAGTTGGACATCCGAGTAGTAAACTAGTTGCGCTTCGTAATTATAACTGATGGCAACTACATTCCGCATCAGCGTCTCATTCGTGATGATCTGCACGGGCCAGTTCTTGTTAGCGTGCTCCGTCATATGGATGCTCTCAATGTTGCTGCGATAGCTGAACAGCAGGAAGTTGTCGTAAGGTTCACAGGCCATGCCATCAGCGGCGAGTCGGCTGTATGAGCAGGCGCATACGGCATTGGTGCCATTGAAGAGACACAGCTGCTCGCAGCCGCCGTTGTTCTGAGCACATAGATTGGTTCCGTGCTGTACACGCTTCGAGTATATTTTAAGATCCGTGATGGCGTCCTGTTCGGTTTTGATTATCTCACGGGCTTGCGACAAGTTGGCCAGCGGGGCTACCTTAATGACACCTCTACTGTACGAGTTGCCCGCCCAGTAGAGATAATCTCCCAGCTTGGCCAATGCCACAATGTCGTTGACCGTGTCATTTAGAAGCTCTTCACGTAAATTGCCATCATAATCCACCTTCATTAGTGCATTTCTAGAGCACCAATAGACCTTCGTCGCATCCATGTCCACAATTAGACTGTTTACTGACCAATTGCTGTTTGTCTTATTGACCAGCACGAACAGTTGGCTGCCATCCAGTCCGGTACGTCCAATGTACAGATCGGTAGCAAAGAAAAGCATGCCTTGCACTGGGTCCACAGCCAAGACAGTGGGTTTTTCAACATTGGCAACAACCACGTAGCGATTGCTGCCATCCAGATGGGAGACTTCAATTATGTTTCGTTTCATGTCGCTCCAGTAAATGTTGCCCGCAATCCAGTCAATGGCAATGCCGCCCAGCCAATCCTGATGCTTAATCTCAGCCAAATTGATGGCCTCCAGCACGGTCTCACGATGCGTGCCATCACGACGCACGCGCGAGATGGTTCCCAATTCGCTGTCGCTCCAATAAAGCATATCCGTAGCGGCATGATACTCAATGAAAGTTGCAAAGCTAATGCGTGAGATTGGCACGAGCGCCTGACATTAAATATAAAAGAAAATGTTCATTAACATGGATTCAACACATGCTTCACGATTTCATACCGGTTTGGGTGTCTCAAACTGTTCACTGGGATCAATCATTTCGACGCCCTGCAACACATCAATGGAGTAAAATATAAACTCAGCTCGTGGTATGCAACGCGTTGGATTGGTCGGCTCCACATCGTAGCCCAGAGCGCAACGACACACATGATCCGTGGCCGACGTGGCCAGGCAAAGCTGCTCGCAGCCACCACGCAAGGGCCCAGCACAGGTATTAGTGCCCGTCTGTGCATCTGCATAGTACATTTTCATGCTCTGAATGCTCTCTGTAGAGTGAAGTGGAGGTTAGAAAAGTGCTACTCGCGACATTCTGTAGACATACTTGTATTGACACGCAGGAAGGACATGTTCAAGCACTGCTCCTTCTCGCAGTGCATAATGACGCTCTGAATGTTCTCGGGAAAGTAGAGTGTGCCATTGTAGACCGTCAGGGAGTTGACTGAGGTGATGGGGCTGGCCTCCAACACGATGTGTGTCTCATTCTTCGGTATATCGTAGTAGGCAATGCCCGAGTTGTCGTAGGCATAATACAAACGCTGCGAGTCAAAGTCCATGGTCAAACTCTGCATGCTATTGTTGTGCTTGTGTATGAGCACGCGATCGGAGCCATCCAGGTTCGATTGCTCCAGCTTCCACAGCGTGGAGTCATGTGTGGAGTGTATCCAATACATTTTGCCACTGCAAAAAGGGAGTGTGAATTGATTACAAATTTCAATTACTCAATCAATCAATTGATTACTTAGCTGGATCCAGGGCAATGCTGTCCACCATATTGAGGTTCTCGTGTATGTGGGTGGTATATTCGCCCTGCAGATTGCTGGCTAGTATGGTGCCAACAAATTGACCCGAGGAAAAATACATATGCTTGGCAATCCAGTCAATAGCAAAGCCGTAAGGCTTATCGATATTCGTGTTGATAATGGGCCCAATCAGTCCGCTGGATATGCCCGCTTTGGCGATCTCATTCTGCTGTATATCGGACCAATAGATGTGACTATCCTCTACCAGAAAGTCAATGCGTTGTGGCGCCACAAGCTAATGGGGAGAAGTGAAGTGATTATGAATTAAAATCATCCAATTTCCTTAATGCTCACCCTAGGGGACTGCCGTATGGTGGGTATAGTATGATGATTGGGCTGTTGCAAGTCAATGCCACGTATCTCCTCGCCCATGACAAATAGCAAAATCTGTTCATTGGGCACACAGTTTCGCTCATTAGCCGGATCCAAGCGCATCACATGTGGGCATTCGCATTTGAAGGTGCCTCTGCCGCTCAGCAGGCAGAGATGGGAGCAGCCGCCATTGTTATCGCCGCATGGATTGCGATCCCAGGGCTGGCGGCTTGAGTGCAGCACTTGTATGCCAAATGGTTGGGTATGTGTGCGCTGTAGCACCTGCACATCGCTGCCATTCCATTTGTTGGCGCGTATCACAGACGTCGTGCTCCAGTCCGTCCAGTACACATAGTTCTCGAACACAGAGATGGCAAACGGATGGGCCAGCATCTCCTTGCTGTGCAGCACAACATGATGCTCGGAGCCATCGTATTTGGTGCTGCATATTGAATTCGATTTGGCATCGACCCAATAGACACGCTTCTGAGTATAGTCCAGCGTCAAGCCGTTGGGCCAGCCGGCGCTTAGCTGCCAATTGGTAGATATTGTGCGCCTACCCTCTCCGGCCATGCTGCAGCGTTCAATGCGCGGCGAATTGTCATCCCAGTCGGTCCAGAACAGCAAACCCTCACGCGGATCTAGAGCAATGGCACGTGGACTCTCCATGTTGCCAGCAATCAGAGTTCTGCGAAAGCTGCTATTCAGTTTGGCCACTTCAATTTGATCCATATTCGAGTCAATCCAATAGAGATTTTTGCCTATCCAATCCACAGCCAAGCCCTCCGTCGTCGACAGACCCGAATGCACTACGGCCTCCACATCGCGCAAGCTTTCGCCAACCAGCTGACCGCGATAGATCTTATCATCGATGACATCTGTCCAGAAAATATCCAAGCTGGACTCGTTGCTGTACAGAAAGTCCAGAGCAATAATATTTCGGACCGCATTGTAAAAGCTGCTGGCAGTCAGTGTCTTTAAATTGATGCCACGTATATCTTGGCGATCCGTAAAGATAACATACGGCTCATCCGGAGCTGTGCTCTTGCACGTGAACCTGTCGTAGGCCAGGTCATAGCCTTCGAGGCACTGGCAGGCATAGCTTTTGCCATTATTCTCACACACCTGCGAGCAAGTGTCCCAGTGCTCGCAAGCATGCTGCATGCTGCAGCGCTTGCCATTGGGCTGCAAGTACAAGTGGGATGGGCAGGAGCAGATGTAACCCTCGGGCGTGTTGTGACAGTTGTGCGAACACTCGTGGCCATGGTTGCACAGCTCATCAGCGCAAAGGAAGCCCTCGTCTGTGGTATCCTCACAGTCATTGTGCCCGTCACAAAGTTGGCTCACGGCAATGCACTTGTTGCTGAAGCCGCACAAGCGATCGGGATGCTCACAGATGACCGTCTCGTTTGTGTCAAACTTGGTCGGATGCAGCTGAGTGCAGTTAACTTCATCCGTTTTGTCAAAACAGTGGTTGATGCCGTCGCAGCGCAGGAACTCTGGTATGCATTCGAATGGATCTGAACAAGCGAACTCAAAAGGTGCACATTCACCAAGTTTCTTCCAACCGCTCAGCGGATGGTTGTCACTCTTGGTCTGGTTACAATTAGCCTCGTCCCTAAAGTCCTCACAGTCGTTAATGCCATCGCAAATTTGCATATCGCCATAGCAGCCAATGGGGCGACAGTAGCTCTCCCCGTGGCCACATTCGTGCTCGCAGGCTGCCTCATCCGCATTGTTGCTGTGGAAAAAAAGAAAAATGTAATGAGGCCATGATGAACCTTTTATTTTAGGGTAAAAACGCATTACCCGCAATTATTTACTCCATCACAGACATCGGAGAACTGTCGACAGTGTCCATTGCCACAGTCGAACTCGGGGCACTGGATGTCCAAATTGAATGATTCATCGGATGAGTCGTCGGGTCCACAATCGACGACACCATCGTTGACCCACGTGAACTGAATGCAACGGCCGCTCTTATCGCAGGTAAACTCATTACTGTTGCAGGTGTTGTGCTCACAGTTCAGCTGATCCGATCCGTCCGAGCAGTAGGCAATGGAGCTGCACAGCAATGCGCGCTGATAGCAACGGCCGTTGCACGCAAAGTACAACTTCTTATTACAGTATTTTGGATTGCATGGACCTTCTGTGTCATTGGTTTCGTCGCTGCCATCGTCGCAGTCCTCGAAGCCATCGCACAGATCCTTGCCATCGATACACTGTCCAGTGCTGCGGCACTGGTGCCCCGAGGTGCAGTTGGAGCGGCCCTGCGTCGACGGCGTCAGCTGTGGTATACAATGAGTGCCGGTGCCATTCAGTGTATAGCCATTTGGACAGCGGCAGATGGCGCCTTTGGGCGTGTTCAGGCACATGCCAGGACATTTGGACAGCGCACAGGAGCTGGGCGTTTGCGGCAAGGGCTGCGTGGCCACATCAAAGATGCGCAAATCGATGGCATTGCCACTGGACTGCAGATGCACCGTGGAGCTGAAAGTGCTCGTCATGTTGGCATGATGCACATGAAACCGCCAAATGGTCGAATTTATGTTATCCACCCAGTAGACAACTCCATTGTGCTGGACCATGGCAAATGGATGAAACTGCTCCGACTTGAAAAGCAGCTCGCGACCAGTGCCATCCAGTTTCATACGTTCGATGGTGCCCACTTTGAAGTCACACCAATAGATGCGTTTCGTGCGTCTATCCACGTCCAAGCTGCGCGGCCAACGCATGCTCAGCTCATCCGTAGATGTAGCCAACAGCTCCTTGTGGGTGCCATCCATCCAAGCGCTGTAGATGCCCGCCTCGCACGACGTCAGCGCCCACTGCGTCCAGTAGAGTAGCCCCGTTCCGGGATCCAATTCCAATGACCTAGTAGAAGATTGATTTGATTAGTACTTTCCTCAAACAAAGGTAGTCGAATCTACTTACATGGGATTGCAATCAACGTTGAAGGTGAGAACTTTGCTCATGTTACGCAGGGGGGCGACATGGAGCTTCTTGTATTCAGTCCAATACAAATGGTCGTTGACCCAGTCGTAAGCCATGGCACGCACCTTGCGCCAGCCCGTGGACAGGGTACGCGAAACGCTGCCGTTCAGGGACTGGCTCTTGATGGCGTACACGAGCTCAAGGGAGCTGAGGGATGCCTCCTGATCGGGTAACACATACAAAATGGATTTGCCACGCACATTTACATCGATGGCCTTCGGGGCGGTCACATTGCAAATGGGCACCATTACGTCGGGCTCCTCGCCGAGCTGTTCGAGCTGCTGCACCTGTTCGGTGCCCAGTGGCACGCCGGTGATGCGAACCAAACGCTTGTCGGTGTACACCAAAAATTTATCGTGCGCGGAAAGCAAACAGGTCGTCTGATTGTGCAATTTATAGCCGGCAGTGCAGAGGCACTTGGCGCTCGCAAATCCACGCGTCCAAAGCGGCACACAAATCTGGTTGCAATTGCCGTTGTTCTCCCGGCACGGATGCGCCACCTCCGGCTGCTTCTGGCGATGGAAAATGCGAAAATGTGTGCCGCGTGTCACATTCGCCAGCAGCACGCGCGCCTTCAACGTAAATTTGTCGAGGCCAACGATGGCATGGTCCGTCCAGGCAGCCAAATAAATTGTGTTTTCGAATACCTCCACCGCCTGGATGGTCTTCAAAGGCAGCGGCGACTGTAAACAACGGAAATTGCGTTTAACAAAACAATGCCAAACAACGATGGGCTTTTTCTGATAAGAGCTGGCTTCTGATTTTGTTTGAGTACCGAACTGTTTACAGCACACGAAAGTAGTTGGCGCAATATTGTGATCAGCTACTATTGGAATATGTAGGATATACCAATATATATTGCATTTTAGAGCATATATGACAGAGGAAAATATTTCTTTAGTTTGATGAAAGACCAAGCTCACTGCTTATATATAAAGAATAAAGTAGTAGCAACTCAAATAGAATTGTTTAAATTGTTAAATTTGCTTTAGACAATCAGGAAAAACTAAAGGCTATATTAAATCGGTTTTTATACTGTCTAAAAATATATATATCTTCGACTATTAACTTTATCGCCGCTCTATATGCTCTCTATATATAATTTAAGCTATGATTAACTCTACTCTGCTCTCTTATAATGTCTGCCTCGCGCCTTTTAAGCCAATAATTAAAGTCAGCCACTCACATCTGGTGACTTTTTCAATGCCCAACGCTGCTGTCCCTCATAGTTGACACGCTCAATGACGTCCTTGTATTCATCAATCCAGTAGACATGCTCACTGGCCAAATCCAATGTAACGCTACTCAGATGATAAATCTGCGTGTTGACGAGTGTTGTGCGATTGCTGCCGTCGAGCAGAGCACGCGATAGGCTGGGCGATCCGTCTGTGTAGAAGAGATAGCCCTTGGTTGGGTCTAGCACCAGAGACGAGGGCTCCTCCACCTGCTGCAGTATGAGGCGGCAAAAGGTGACCGCATTGCTGCACAGATAGACCATGCCGTCGCGCTCGTTTAGGAAATACCAATTGCCCGATAGCCAGTCCAGGCGCATCTCGACAAAAACTGCAATCAAGGCCGAAAGACATCAGCAAACAAATGCACAAATTATGGCCATATATTGGACCCGGACTCACTCTGATGCGGCGAGTTAAATGCTGAGACAGGCAGCGTCCAATTAACGTTGGCGTCGTCGATGCGCTGGCACTGTATGGTCAGCTGCGACATCTTTTGCATCATGCAGAGCGTGCGATTGCGATGCCAAACCTCGTAGGCGAGCATATTCACCTTCTGTGTGGACAGCAGTTGTCCAGCTCCGGTGCCATTAACGGCAGTGCTGATGCGTTGTATGGTGCCTGCAGACAGGAGCGATAGGGTCGCTGGCTCCGAGGGTGGCACTGTCAAATGGATTGAGGATGTGTTTAGTGTTGCGCAATAAAACTGGACACAATTTGCGGCGCTCACCATTTATGGCCAGACAGTGGCTGCCCCGCTTGGTGTAGCCGGATATGCAGGCGCATTCGTAGGAGCCGGGCGTGTTGCGACACTGCTGATCGCAAGTGCCGGGCTCACTGCACTCGTCGTAGTCGACGCAACGCGTCGAGTTGGCCGACTCGGGCACCTGCCCGGCGGGGCAGTAGCAGCGTGCCCCATGTGGCGTCAGCTTGCAATTGTAGCTGCAGTTGAGCGCAGCGCAGGCGACATTTTGTTTATCTGCGACATTTTGTTTTCGTATTGGGTTGCTAAAAGTCTTTGATTTGTTGAACACTGTTTTCTACTTACCACATTGCAGCTCATCGTTATCACAATCCCAGTGGCCGTCGCAGAAGCGCGACAGCTCGAGGCAGGCGCCGTTGTGGCATTCCGCTTCAAAGGCGCGACACTTGGGCGCAACGCTATCGGGACCTGTCAAAGGATCGCAATTGGGCAAAGGATTAAAGATTAGGGGCTGGCTAATAAGCATAGTGCACACAATTCAGTTACTTACATTTGGTCTCATCCGAAATATCCCCCTTGCCGCAATCGTATTCGCCATCGCATACCCAATTGCTGGGTATGCATTTCAGGCTCTGGCCGCAGCGAAATTGCCCCTCGTTGCATTTGGGTGACTTGGCTGCAAAAGAGGGCACACAGAAACCACAATAACAATAACGTAAATGAAGATTTATGAACGGTTTGTTAGCGGTTGCGTTGGTTTTGCGCTATTTGCTCGTGGGTGGGCGGGCATTTGGGGTGGTCCGTGCGAGTGGGTAGCGGTTGGGGCAGGCCATTGTCTGCTACGAATCACTGAATTATTTTCAAAATAAGCAAACTACAATTTAAGTTCTTATGCCATGGAGTGGTCTTAGTCGAGTGCACTTGCATTTGTTGCATGATAAAGTTTCAAGTGCTGCTATAGATAACACTTTTAAACGGCATCAATATAAAGAGATATTGCTGTGAATTTCCACTCAAGTTATTAGCTCTTAAACTTTCGAATCTTACTGAAACTATTTAAATGAAACAATTTATTGAGCGTGTATTGTTGCAGTTGAGAGAAGGCGTGGCTCTGTCCCTTTTGTGTTTATACATATTGAACAGGACGACGTGATTTATTTGTCTATATTTATTTTTTTTTTAATATCAAAAATAAAATATAAAAATCATCTTGCATATGTTTATTATATTTTACCAAGATTTATTAAATAGCCTCAAGTCAACCCATGGAAATTTAGAAAAATGCAACTGCCTGCCACTACTGTATACATATAATATAGTCAATCTAGAACCTCTGAGAGCTGTCGATGCTCGCACGACTGCAGTCAAATGATATTTAATGAATTTATAAGCTGGAACTTCGAGCATGCTCAAGCCTATGTGCTGTGAGAGCGAGAGGAACCGAGAGAAAATGGAACGAATGACCGCAAGCTCTTTACAAATCTAAAACTATTGAGCCAACTGCTGCTCTTAAATTCAAATATGAAACTTGGCGTCATTTGCTGCGTCTAGCATATTTAATAAACTCTAAAAATTAGTAACAATATTTAACTAATGTTTAGAAATTTACTAAACTAGCAGCAATAGCATTCAGCTCCATAAAATTTATAATAAACTTCTTATTCTGCACAGCTAGCTAAAGTATTCGCCTCTTTATTTGTTAATTAAAAATTTAATATTGCACATTATTTAAACCATTCCCTTGCATATTTGTCAATTAGAATCGCTCGATCCATTTGACCCTCGAAAAACAAAAACTTTTGCAACAATTTCATATTTTTCGAGTCGGCTTAATTAATTTTCATTCAAATATGAATTTCTCATTAGTTTTGAGCAATTTATTGCTGCATACTTCTGTGTGGCATAATTTAAAATAAATTTGTCAATTCTCACACTCTTTAAAGTATGCTGCGCATAGCAGCTTCGGCATTCCAGTTGGGAGTTTAACTTTTAACTGCGAGTTCCGCAGCACATTTTTAACACATTTTGTTTCGTTTTACCGACAATATTAAAAAAATGCAAATTGTCACGCGAAAATACTTTGTGAAAAATAAAAAGAATTCAAATAACATCCTCCTGCTGCCCGAGCTGGTTGTCAAAATCAAAGGCAGCTACAACAGCGCCGTGGACGGCATCCACGCGCGGCTATAACCATAAAAGCCACGTTGGCGACACATGGGACGGCCAAAAAAAATATTTGGACTGCCAAGAGGTTAAACTCCAGAGACACAACGACCGCTCACAGCTGCAGCAGCAGCCGGGGCAGCAGCCGGGGCAACAGCAGCCGCAACCGCGTGCCAATTTACATGGCCGGCGGGTGAGGCAGTGGGCGGCTATTGTTTTTCGCCCAACTGGTGCTGGCCGTATAATATTTAATAAGCCCAAGGGCATGCAGATGCTTTGTATACATTTAAATTTTTTATTTTATTTCATTCGATGGGGTGGCAAAAAAAAAAACACACCGAAAATGACAAAGGCACAAAAGCGAAACACGCTTACAACTCTCAAGTCTCTTGGCCGAGCGCGCACATTGAACCAACTGACACAGAAACTGGATTTTTGGCACTTATTTAATCTACTTGGCACAGGAGACTGATTCAAAACAAAATATATATCATAAAGCAATTGTTAAGTATTATTGTCATATCTGGGGAGCTGTAAAAATTCAGCCGAATTTATCTAAAGGCCTAACGACAGCAATCTGAATTAAGGTAAGGTAAGGAAGGAATTGAGTTGCTATATAAAATAATAAGAGTCGAGAAATATAGATGCTTGACCATTTCACCTCAGTATAGTTTATAAAAAACATATAAAACTAGCTTTGATTATTTGATACTTTAATTTCTTCATTTCTACACATAAAATATTTCAAATATTTATATAAAATCATAAGATACATACTTTCTAGAAATGTAATATATATTTATACATATTTATAAGTTCTCAAAAATATTTTTAGGAAGTGAGTTGCCGTCTTATAGGCACACTAATCCAATGTCCCTACGACTTGTCTAGCTATAAAACTCCTTTGTTGACATGAGTAGTAATTTACTAGGCCTGCTTCAATTGCATCAGTTGCTAATCATATCATATTATATCATATCATATCGTATCATATCATATCATATTATATCATATATAATATCATATCATATCATATCATTTTATATCATATATTATATCATATATAATATAATATCATATCATATCATATCATATCTTATCATATAATATTATGTCAGCTACTGTAATTTGATTTTCTAATTAGAACATCCCCGAAAAATCTAATTAGAGTTCAACTTGGCAACACTGCAATGCTTGATGCTCTACACTACGCCTGCTACATAAATATGTCACATTTAGGTGAGAAGAAGTGATTGACTTATACATCAAACATAGAAATGTATATATCTTCCATATTATCTTAGATCTGTATACAGTCAACTATGGTCTAAAGAATTGGTCTCTTCGCTATCATTTGCAATTGCTTTGCTCAACCAGCACTTTTATAAATCGTTCGACATAATTGAGTTGAGTTATGACTATTAGAATTAGTTTGAAACATTCAAAAGTTAACCAAATGAATAGCTGCACATAAATTCAGTAAACTTTACTTTCAGCGAAAATCCCCTGAGAAAGTTTTTCAGCCAGGGCAGGCAGTTTAAATGCGATATATCAAGCGACTTACTCTATATAAAAAACTGCATATATACATATATGTGGGTATTTAAGTGTATATGTGTGTGTGAGTGCAGCTGCAGTCAGCGAGCTTTAATTGAGATTGCGTAGCTGCCACAATGAGAGCGGGGGGAATGCAAGAGAAAGAAGAGAGTGCATAGTGTGAAATGCATGAGGAGTTTGGCACATGGTACGTAGATGAGGACGCAGTGGCTGCCACATTTATTATAATCTGTTGCATTAATATTTGCCGACAATTTGTCGTCAGAGACGTCGGTTGTTGCTTGTCGCCTGCTGTCTCTTGTCTGTGTTCTGTGCTCGATTCTTGTGGTTGTCGCCATAAAAATGCTATCATATAAAATGAAATTAAAAATGCCAACAGAGGAGACAGTCCAAGCAGCAATGCAACCCAGAACTCTGCTCGATGTTTGTTATTACTGTTGTTGTTGTTGTTGTCAACGTTGCCATTTCTCAGCGCTCAGCTTGAAGTTTGTTGTTGCTTTTTATTGGCATACAGCGCAAAATGTCTACACATTAATTTAGTGGGCTGACCGACTGGGAACTTAAAGCACAGCGGAAAATGCAAATGGAAATGGAATGGGAATGGAAATGGAAATGGAAATGGGAATTCATTTGACAGAGTTTAGAGTTAAAGCAACATTTAAAACGGAAATTTGTGCTGCACCCGCAATGCTCTAAGCGCAGAGCAGCCACACGGGGTTTGGGGCAGGCAACACGAGCCACTAATTGCATTTGGTGTTTTTGGTAGAGGCTTTTACGCATTTTGTGGCGCGTTGACCAGTAGTACCTGTCATTAGGCGCACTCATGCCAAAAACGTTTACAGCCAAACAGTCAAACCAATAATATAGCAATCAACAGCAAATGGGCAGCAGCAGCAGCAACTGGGGAAAAGGACTCAACGAGCCAGGGCAATACTCACCACATTCGCTGCTCTCATCAGAGCCATCCTTGCAGTCCAGTTCGGAATCGCATTTCCAGCGCATTGGTATGCAGGAGCCATCGTTGCATGTGAAATACGATGGCAAACAGGGACCTGGGGACAAAATGAGACCGTTAAAACTATCGCATCTTCATGTATGAACATTAAATAGAGTTGCATGCGGCAGTTGCAAGCAGCGCATCAAAATTCAGCTAACCAATTGGATCTATCTCAAGAATTACATTTCAATTGAGGAATGATGTGGATAGGAATTGTGACTAAGATATATAGATAAATATAAGCATCTGCTTAGCCTGGCTGCTTATATTTATCACAGGCTGCTTCTTACAAAGTATTAATAGAAATTTAGCTCTTCTAGGCGCTTCTCATTATTAAACTTTCATTCTCAGATCTTCTGTTTCTCTCATATTCTAATTTGCACTCGCATTCTCTCTGTCTCTGATTTTCTGCCACTCATTCTCTATTTTTATTCTTTTCTTTCTCCGATCCGATCACTCCCATCGATTCTCTCTTTTCTCACTGATTCTTTAATTTTCATCGATTCCCTTCTTTGTTTCTTTGATTTTATCTCTCATTCCCTCTTTGTTTGTCTCATTTTCTCTAATTTCCTCACCGATTCCATAATTTTTTTCGATTCTCTCATGATCTGTCTACTGTCTCAGCTTCTCTCTGTTCTTCTAAGTTTCTTTCTGATGCTCTAATATTTTTTCTCTCATTTTCTCTTCGATTCTTTAATTTTCTCACTGATTATTTTTTCTTTATTTGCTCTGTTATTCCTTCACTTTATCTCTGACTGTCTAAGTTTCTTTCTAACTCTCTCTGGGTGTCCTCTTATCTGTGTGGTCTCCTCTTTCTCTCTGTGTCCATATATCATATTTCCCTCTCTCCTTTTGTTCCATCTCAGTATTGTGTATTCATAGAGAAATGGCTTCAAGCACACTTAGTAGCCATATTATATATATTAAGCCATAGTATTGGCTTCAGTTTCCATAGTTATGCAACTATCCATCAATAATTTACTCAATGAATTTATGAATAATTATTTTGACATTTGATTTTATTAGTTTCACAATTTATATACATCTAGCAACGACAAATTACTTTTTAAGTACATAAATTGTGAAAGGCTGAATTTTCTGGCAATAAATTGCAACTGTTGCCCATTAAGCATTGTGTCTCGAACAACAATTTAATATTTATGCTTGATTACACAAATATTTATTAGCATACGCATTTCGTGCTTGATTCTTCGTGATTATACTTAAGTCTTTGCTAATATATGTATGAGTTGGCCTGGCGAACGGGAGCTTGATACAAATGTATCTTCTAGCTACTTTCGAAAACAACAAAATTCATGTTTATGCAGTTTGCAGCCAGCCAGTTGTGCCCAGTAGCTGTCGCCTTTTGTACGTGCCCACAATTAAAATTAACATAAAGAGCAGCGGCAACAAAAGTTTTCCATTTGTTGTTGTTGTTGCTATTATTATTGTTGTTTGATTGTGGCAGCAACTGGCGACGATGCTGCCAACGTTCAAGTACGTGACTTTGGAACATTGCATCATTAGTTTAGCTTGGCTTGGTTCGGCTCTTGACAAGCCTGGCTGGCCTGGCGTGGCCTTTGCGCCTGGTAAACAATGAAAACTAATTTAAATTTGCTTAACGCATAAATAAAAGGTGTCAAAATGTTGGGGGCTTCCTGATAACTTTTCCTACAGCTTACCAATGCCGATAAGCTGTGGCTGTGGCTGTGGCTGTGGCTGCTGCGGCTACTGCAACTGGGCCTAATTTCGTTAAGCGTTTTGTAACGGGAGGGCAAACAAACTTGTTTAACCCAAACACATACACACAGTAGCAGCAACTGTTGACACAGCCGCCGACGCACAAGCTGCAGAACACCCATAAAAGAGCGTTGAGCCGGTAACAAGAGCAACATATAGATTTCAACATGTCACTTAAGTGTCTCGCACTTTGCGCGTTCGCCTTGCTGCTCAGCATTGGCGCAACATGGGCTGAGACGAGGATCCTGCAGCCTCGACCGGTGGGGCAGCTGAGACAAAGCAAGGATCTGGGCTTCCAAAACGAAGAGCAAATCAATGAGTTTGCAGACATTGATATCGACGACGATGAGGCAGCGGATGCGGCGGATAACGCTTATCTCGATGAGTTGGACGCACAAAACATTGCTGAGCTAACCAAGCTCATCAATGGAGTGGAGTTGGATTTGAATCAACCCGAGTCGCGTGCCTCTCCTGGTGGCCGCGGCGGGCGTCGCAACAAGCGACGCAACCGAAGTGGCTCAAGCAAGCGCAATAGCAAAAACCGCAACAGCAATAGACGCATAGCCAGACGCGGCAATAAACGCGCTGGCAACAAGCGCTATCGCAGCGGCAAAAGGAGGAAGACCGACTCAAAGCCGGCGCAGCAGTCACGCATCTAACAAATTCGCAGATATTACGCTGAAAAGCGTTTACCTCACACAGCAACGTCCATAATATGTGAACCAATAAATTTTAATAAAGGCAGAATTAACGAGTCCAAACTCGTGAAATGCTTAACACTTTTTTGTATTACAAATTCTTTAAAAATTTGCCAAGAAAGGCAACAAGTTAGCTTGGCTTGTTATGTTAACAGATCAGTTATAGCTTTTGCTGCAGAAGATTTCCAAACAATTAAAACAAATTCATTGTTAAGGATTCATTTATTCAATTTCTAGGAATTCATACTTCAAGAAATCAAAGTGGTTTGCTTTACTACATTTATTTATATGATTATAGATCATTCGACCAGTAGTCGCAGAATGTGATAAGCAAGCAAGGCGAGAAGGCGCAGTCTCAATTAAAAAAAATACTCATTTATAAAAATATACTGATCCCTATTTGGAAATATGGCATACAACTCTATACGAAACCCCGAACTCAGAACAAACTTGTTCAAGCAGGCGACAACAAACCACTAGAAACTGTACTCAAACTTACTAAAAGACTTCAATACGAATAAATAACAACTAGAGACACGAAAGCAGTCATCACTCTGATGCATTTAATTTGCCCAATATTAAGAGAGCCCAGCTAGAAGCCTTGACTACACAAGTCTGTCTTGAGATCTTATCAAGCAATACTCTTGATAAACTGCCTACATAACAAACTAGAGCATGACTTGAATTAGATAAAACTATAAATATAAATATATACTATAAAAACTATATATTTATATATATATTTATTTATATATATATTTATTTATATCTATATTTATTTATATAAATATTTATTTATATATATATTTATTTATATATATTATAAGCTATATATTTATATGACACATGCATCAGCTGCTGCCAATTAGTTAAACTGTGTACATAAATGCTTAACAAAGCATACGTTGTTTACTCAACCCACTAAGTTTTCTTAAAGTCGTATCTATTTAACATGGAAATTTGTATTTTGGCACGCTGCAGTTGTAAAGTTAATGTGCATCAGGGCTAATTTATTATGTGCATGTAAATAATTCTTGGCGTTGCTATTGTGTGTTCGTTGCTAATGCAATAAGTATATTTCCGAGTGCATCCAAATAGTGAACGTTTGCGGAATGCGCATTTTTGTAGCGCACAGTTTGGGGCGGCGGTTGCCCACGTTGGCCGCATAGGTGGCGCTTTTATTTTCATTGTTATTAACGCACCCGTAAAGTTTAATGGCTGTTCTTGTTGTTATTTTGCTCTCGGTTTTGTGTGCTGCAGCAGGTAGCTGTAAAAGCAGCCACAAAATATGAAAATATACAACATATATATAAAGCATCGTAAATTCTCCGCTTTTGTCTGCAATGCGTGGCATATTGGTGTTGTTTTTGTTATTGTTGTCGTTGTTCTTTCTCTTTTGTCATATCTGTGCTATCCATAATTTATGAGCATCGCAATTACATTTAGCAACTCGGCGCCATTCGGAATTAGTATTATGCCATTTTGATTTAGTTTGCGTGGCTTAAATGCTTTTTATTGCTGAGACATGAAGTCAACTGAACTGTCATATTAGCAAACATTTGGCAACATTAAGCATTAAGCAATGGCTAAGTGCAGTACTTGACTCTTCTTACAGTCAGTCTTTGTGCCTAGAATACTTAAGCTACCTTCTGCTCTTCCGATATGCACTCAATTTCAGCTTATTTTACTTTCAGCTCATCTTTTGTAATGTCTAGCAGTTGAGTTCGTCTACCTACGCCCAGCTGGCTCGCAAGTCTGTCTGCTCGCTGTGGCTAGTTTCGAAAACAATTTCACCATAATTTCAACAAATGTTTACAGAGTCTGTAATTCTATGGAAATATATTATGTGAATGGACTTAGAGTAATAAGAACTATCAGACTCAAATGATATTATCGCTTATAGATTCTCATTATATTAAATTCTAAAATTTTATCTCTTCCATTTTCCAAATTATTTTATATATAATACTAAAAATATTCATTGGTTTAATTAAGCATTGAATGACATTTTTGCCTTTATTTTATTTTCATTTTCCTTTAGCAAGCATAAATATCAATAATTCCATTAGATTTTTCACATTTCAAAGCTCTCAAAATATATTTTATTTTAATTTATTTATTTATACCAAACCAAAAATACCTCAATCATATCAATTACTTCTTTTTTTTAAACCATTTGGTTGTGAAATGGTTTTGTGGAATGCGTTCGTTTACTTGGCATTGTTTGCTTTCTACCTGTAGCCAATTTTCAACTCTGGTCTGTCTGCTGTTGGCATTTGGTCAGCAGCGCTGTGGATGACCATGCGGGTGTCTGGCCAACTCCATTGGGATATACTGAATTGTTTGTGCGCTGTGTGGATAGCCGTGTAGCCGTGTGCTCGCTTGCCACTGACATTTGCCAAATCAAATAGAAATTTTAATTGACTCTTGCTGCTGCTACGTGCCGTGCCAGTCCATGTGTGTAAGTGTAAGTGTCTCTGTGTCTGTGTTTGTTCACAATTTTAATTTGATACGCTTTCTGGCTGGCTGTCACATTGCCGCCAAGTGTTTTCTCGTATGCGACATCCTATTACTTGTTATTTTCTGTGCCCTTTTTTGTTGTCGTTGTTGTTATGTG